CACACACACACACACACACACACGAGTTCCGCTTTTTATCATTTCAGTTGTGCACCACTACACAAGGGCATATTAAAACACGACGAAAACATAACAAGTAAAATAAATCATAATTCTATTTGAATTTTCTGAATTAACTTTAAAATAGATCTATAAAAACGCGCTCTCAGAGAACAAATTATATATGCAATTAAAATAACGATCTTCTTCTGAAAAAACTGAAATTAATTCTGTGATTTAGGTCTAGTGCTTTTCATTGACTATGCTAATTATTGATAATTATTCTGGTCTACCACCATTCAAATTGGCACAATCTATGAGAATGAAAAGGGTTACTCGTTAGCATCGAACTTGCATGTCTGCAAAACAAAATTCTTGACAATCTTAAAAATCTGGACATTATAAATTATGAAGTGCTGGCGCGTTCTTGGTATAGAAGATATTACACTTTATTAAAAACAAAATTATGCATTCTGCCATAACCACGGTAAAACTAATTTGTATTTTGAGTGATTCTCGGGTCATTTCAATGACAATGCTAAGTGACGAGGCCGGTTGGTGTAAGCTCCGATAATATCGCCATTTTACGTTGGCGAAAAGGTGCCGACCTGATGCGTTTCAGAGCAAGAGAGCGAAAAGACGAAGCAATATATTCTTGTATTTACGTATTTTTAGTTTGAGGAAATTGTATATTATATGCATGCATGTACCGCGCATATATATGTTAGTGTATTCATGAATTATAACTGTACCGACTCATCCAATTTTGTCAAATTACTACAATTCCTTCGAAAAAGTTTCTTACACATAAAAATTTTCACTTTCAAAATCCGGTCATGATACAGAACTCAATTTGGCAATCTTCTCACCGATGACGAGGGGGCGTTATAATCAGACAACCGAACTAGTTTAATTTAATAAAGCTTTATTTGCATGACCTAATTACAGGTATTGCTATAAGCGTAATCGTAAATATATAAAAGTTAACTAGTATAAAAACTACTTTAACTAACGAAAAACAACAATATACTGCTATTTACATGTATAATATTAAATGTAAAAGAGTAAAAATATCAAATACGAAAGAAAAATGACAAATATAAAAATTTAAGAACAGAAAGGATTAGAAAGAGTATATAAAAAAGGAAAGTAATATAATATATAGAAACTTCTGGTTTAAGGGTTGTTGTCTCTGATATAAAAACATTTCGAAATATGCTTCGAAAATAGACCCATTATCACAAACTAAGTCATTCAATGACATAAGATCACTTAATAATTTTCTCTTTACTTCACCAGTGACCCTCATTTGGAAATAGTCTTTCAGGATGTTGTGCGAGTTATTTCGCAAACTCTCGTATTTATTACATTCGAATGCAAAGTGAAATTCGTCTTCAACTGTACGTTTATCGAAGTATTTACAAAATCTCTCTTCCCTGTTTATATACGTTTTTACAGCGACCGAACTCAATTTCTAGTTTATGGTTACTTACACGAAATTTTAAGAACATTCCTCTTTGGTTGTGATCTTTTATGTTATTTAGGTATTCTTCTAAGTTATAACCTATCTTAGATGTGGAATAAAATGAGAGTTTTGAAGAGTTTTCAAATTGATGTTTCCAAAATGATGTATATAGTTATTTTTAATAGCTTTTACGAAATCATTTATGTTCGTGTCCTGGTATTTTAATACTTCAGTGAAGCAATTTGTGGCAAAAACAGTTTACATACATGTGTTTACATCTTTTGTTTAAATTTCACTGTTGATTTACTGAAGTTACCAGAGGAATGGAAAGAAACTTTAAAAAGGTGACGTATACAGTATAATTTCAGTTATGTTATAATTATAATTGTGTAAAGAGCAGCCATGCAGTGTCATCTCAGAGAAGATAAACATTACATGAGATAATATAGTGTATAATTCTTTTTTACATCTAAATACTCTTAATATGTTAAGATCTTTTTTTTTTAACATATATGAAAATTGTAAATAATTATGCATGCACTATTTACTATTTTGGTAAATGCCTAATGATTTTAACTCTTGTAAATAGCCTAGATTCTAAAGCATATCCATGTACTATTTTATAGCATATTCTTATCTATTGTAAAGTACTCGTTAATTCAGTTGTTTCTGTAACTGCAAGAGAGTCCTAATAAACTATTACTATATAGTGCTATCTAATATTTACAAACGTTGGCTATGAGCCTACTAGAAACCAAATGCATGGCTTATATTTTAGGACCCTAGATTACTGAACTAAAAATAATTAATAATTAATATAATGTCAGTTGGAATGATTTTTTTTAAGAAAATACAAAGTCAAAGAATATATTAATAATATATCAAAATATACCTTTGCGATAAAATACAATTTACAATTGCAGTATAATCAAACCTGCCATCAACTCTTATTATTTTCCTCACAATTGCTCATTTTTCGTTCACCAACGTACCATAGTTTGCATTTTTGCTTTCAAAGCCATCACTCGTTTTCAACTGAAAAAAAAACAATAATCAGCAAAGTAAATTTTGACCACTCCGAGCATAGGCAGCCCAATGTTATGGTTGCCTGCCTGCGCGCGGGCGAGGCATGATATAGTTGTATTATTTCCAAAGGTATAGGCAAATGCAATCAAACTAACGA